TGGCGGGCGGCAGGTAGTGCGGGGTCCAGGGGCAGGAGAGGCGGGACCAGGCCGTGTGAGGGGGGCTCAGCCTACCATTGGGCTAGGGGCCGCGTTGACAGGAGCGAAGAGCAGTTTCGTGTCACCTAATATAGTCATTCGGCTCAAAAAAAAAAAAAAAAAATCCTGCTCAGCTTTTTAAAGGGGCCGCGACCCGCTTGGAAGGCTGTCCCTTTGCTCTTGCAGCCCGAGATTTCCCCACAGTAGTAGCTTGAAAATCCCACCACGAGACATTCACAGGGAAGGACCCGATTCTGCTCGAATCCGGGCAGATTAGGGATTTGAAGAAATGTTTCTCAGCGCCTGAAACGGAATGGGAGAGGGAAGGACTGAGCGGGCAGCTGGGGAGGGAGTTATGTCCAGGAGTCTTAAAGGCTTTCTTGCTGAAGGTGTGTCACTGGGAAGACTCTGAATAAGGAGAGAAGGAGGGGCTGATCTGGGGTGGTGGCAGGAGGGGGAGTCTGGACAATTTGGGGATCTTTAGGCAGGGCTTACAGGACCAGCCATGCCCCAGGAGTCTCCCCTTTTCCAGGATCCCAGGCCCTGGGGGCTCCTGGGTGAGTCAAGCAGAGAGGCAAGGTGAGTGGTTGTGGGGTGGGGGTCGCCACCTCCCACAGTCGTGGGAGTTTTACACACATAACTCCAGGGGGCACCAGTCCCGGCCAGTCTCGTCCCAGAGAGATGACTCTCCCATGAATAATGAAACCAATCCAGAGTCCGGGTGGGCACACAGCTTCGTGGCGAGAGCTGTTTTCTCAGGCACCGTAGCTCCCTTGGCCTCGGCCTGGTCTCTTCCGTTCTGGAGCCCACCAGTCCCGCCTCTCTCCTTTCCTTGCCCTCCCAGACCAGCAGCAAGGTCCCCAAGCCTCTGCTAGTCCCAGGGCCTCAGGCCCCAGCCCGGGCTTAGCTCTCAGGCCTGGCGGTGCTCTTATGAGCCCAGTGTGGCCAGGATTTCTTAGAGGTCTCTTGGTTCTGAATGGGGCCCTCCAAGGGCAGCCGGGCCAGGAGTAGGGGGGACAGGCAGGGCAGCTGGGCGTTTTTAACCCAGAGTCAGTAAAGTAGGGATCTTCCGTAGGACAAATCTACCAGTGCTTCGGGAGGCAAGCTACCCAGCCAAATCCCACCAAATTCGCCTCATCCTTCTGGGTGCCTTGGGAGATTTGATGAACGCTTCCGGCCTTCCCTTCACCCCCCAGAATACTGCAGAGAGGCGCTCAATTTTGTATACAATTACGGGGAGGATCTCGCAGGCAGAATGGTCCCAGGTTAAGGTCACAACCTTACCCTATCTCTGGGAATGGGGAGGTTCCTCAGGGGAGAAGCCTCGATTTTCCGTGACCCAAGCTTGTGTGGGGAAGGTGCAGCAGGGCCTGAGACTTGCTTAGGATGGAGACTTGGAGGGCTCAGCTCCTTGCAGGGGGCGGGTTGGGGACTGAGGAAGAAGCACAGAAGGACCGAGCAGAAGAAAGGCAGCGCAGGGCCAAAGGCAAGCGGGGGACCCGGCTCTGGACCGAGGCTCCTGAAATCGCGAGGAAATGCACCATGTAGGGGGACGTGGTGGCGGCTGTCTGTCCAGAACGTGAACCATAGGGGACTCAAGCTGGACAGTGAGACACTGGGCAGCGCTGCCTGCAAGGTCTCGAGTGGAATCAAACATAGGCCTTGAGGCTGGGATCTTTCAGCCTCTCATCAAACCCACACTCCCGGCCCGTGGCTCCCAGCGAGGGCCAAAGAGAGTGGAGCCCCCCGTGGTCCTGAAGGCTGGGGACACTGCGACCTGGCTTCCGGGCTTCGGCTGCGGGTACCAGAACCGGGCCACCGCGGCGGAGTCTCACTTTGAATTTTTGAGACAGGGATGACAGCGCGGTTGTGGGATCATTAGCTCGGTTTGCTGAAGAGATGCCTTTTGTCAAATATGGGGGGCTCTCAAGGCCCATGCAGCTGCCCACCATCCAAGCTCCCGACCGGCTTCTCCCTGGCGGGATCTGTGTATCGGTGGCCTCTCTGTGGCCCTAAGTCGCCAGGCTTTTGGCCGATGTTACAGTTACTGCTCTCAGCTAACCCAGCTTGGGGGCCCGCCTCGCCTTTGAAGATTGTTTTTGGGGAGTGGGAGAGGATGCCTATCACGGAGGCGGTGACGTCTGGCAAACGAGCCACATCCGATTCAATTAAACGTCTCGCTGAAAAGAGCTCGGAGCGAGGGTCCTGGGAGCACTGCTAAGTGAATGGGCTGGCTCGGCGGCTCGCGATGACAGTTTGAAAGATTAGCGTGGGCCGACGCCTGAAATATTACCGTTTAATGGGGGACATTGAGGCTGCATCCGGGATCCCTTTTTTTTTTTTTTTTTAAGCGATAGTTCTGGAGGAAGAAAATAATTCATCATTTCCTCTGCAGATCAAGGCGGTGATGATTTATCACAATTTCGGGTACGGGGGTTCCCAGGGCTGACTGATAGACCCGTGGGTCAGGTGTCATGAAAATGGAGGGAAGAGGATTCTCCCTATTTGGACAAAATCGGCGACTTCTTCACCCCCTACACCCACTCTGGGAATCCCATAATAATTTCTCTTTGCTCTAAAACCGGCTTTAGCGTTGCAGTTGAGGGGAAACCCGGGCCAAAACGGATAAGTAGGTGCGAAATCGGAATTGGGGCGACCCATGCTGGCTTCCGCATGGAAATGTCAAAGAGCAAGCTCTAGCTTTTCTTTGCAGTCCTCTGTTTCTGAGTGAGTA